ACACTATCTTGTCAATTTCATATCCAGTGTGAAATAAGCTTTCCATCAATATATAGCTTTGCGTTGTACAGTAAATATTTTATATGAAAATATCAGTTTAGAAAATCAATACCAAAAACGTGTACAGCATCCTTAAATTTCTTCATAGTTATTAATTCATTTTAGAAAGGCCTGTTTTCTGCATATCCTCAGAACTTTGATGAGCTTTGGTGATGATATTGGCCTAAATTAAGGGTCAAAATGTCTTGAAAAAATGCAAGAAAGTTTGGGAAAAGGTCGGGAAAAGTCTTGGAAATCATTTGGCTCTTGGTGCTATGGACCCCGACCTACTACCATAGTCATTTCACCAAGGTTCTACAGGCATTGCTTATATTCAGTCATGGTTTGATATAAAAAAAAGTAATATACTGTAGAATATTTTATTTTCCCTTGGAATTTATTTTTGCTGAAAGGATGATTCCGTGAAAATAAAATCCAGCGAATATACTTTTTTTCCTATATTTTACATTCAACTATTAATATCAGTGAAAACAGAAAATTAATACCAGCTGAAATAAAGTATTTCACAGTATTTGGTTTTATTGTGAAATCCTATTTTTAGAACACTCACAAATACACATACAAATGTGCTGAAATTCGCCATGTTTGTTTAGAACATCTGCCATGTTCTCTCTTGACTTGATAGGTCAAGAACACCATTTCCAATTGGAATACTACATACATGTAGTACTACCAACATCTTCTAAGTATTGGTATTGCAATGAAAACAGACTGGAAGTAAATTTCATTACTATCAAGAGAGAGACGACAGAAAATATAAATCACCTTTCTCATCACATTCCCATTTCAACATGAAGTCAATAGAGTAGAGCGCCCTCGATGGTGGACAATGTACAAGTCCTTTTGGTGCGGGTTCTGTGGTCACTGCTTGAAATAACTCTTTTATTGCACGATGGATATTTGTTTCAATATCACACCATTTATAGTCAGGGTACTGCTCTTCGAATAAATCAATAAATTCATGAAAATGGACCTGTAAAATATAATAACAATAATTTATTTATCTTCATAATAAATAATTTTACTCTTTAATAATAACAAGTATAAACAGACATATGCTGGGATTGCATATTTCCCACTTCGTATGATCTTTGAAAAACATCTCCCTGATCTCTGTACAGTTTATGTGAAAACTTATCAAACAGATTCTTAAATTGAATTTAGAAGTTTGCCTAAAATGATGTGGCATTGAGTGATTGTAACAATAAAAAGTGTGTTTGGCTTGATGATTATAAAACACCACAACTTTTAGTGCAGGCTAGCTTCAGTATTACAATATTTCAGAATTTGTTATCAAAACAACTGATTTTATCACTTTTCATAGGGATCACAATAATCAGTGGGAATTCAACTTTAATCTTTAGTGTTGCAGTTTCAAATTAGAAACAAATACTGTAAAAATAAAAGTTGCGATACATAATGCAGTTTCGAGATCTGCATAGCATTTTTCATGTATATGACTGATATATCGTCAGGTGCAATATTACCTCAATACATACACGTACAGGAGTTACAACCATTGCAGTGTGCTTTAATTCAGTGCAATAAGTAGTCAAACCTGTCTATAGTGGCCACCCAGGGGACTTTGGGATTTTGGCCTTTACAGACAGGTTCACTAATTTATTCATGAATATAACTATTAGGCATTAAAACAGATCTCGCAACCCCATTTGACACATACTACCACACTTCTGTATACAGTATTCAAACACTGTTTACAAATATTCAGTTTGAAATTGTACATGTACTTTACATGTAAATTTCGTAGGGACTTTTCGGTCACGATCGCTATAGGCAGGTGACCGTTCTCTGAGGGTGGCTGCTAAAACAGGTTTGACTGTATTTAATTGTTAATTATTTATCACTGCAAAAATCCCAATAAAAAATCTAGAAGACACGGATCTTACAAGGAGCATATATGAGAGAAATAATCTTCCCATTCAGTACTCTTTGTTACTGTAAAATACTTTATTTTTGATTGGAATTAATTTTCAAACCCGTGAATATACCTTTTTTTCTATATTTTTCATTTACATTTTATTTTCTATATTTTACATTTCAAAAAACAGTGAAAATAAATTCCATAGAAAACACACAAGAAGTTCTTTCAGCGAAAATTAACTCCAGCTAAAGTATAGTATTTTACAGTATATGGATCCAGATGTGCAATCAGGACAGAAACAGCACAGAGAAAAGAAAAGTCCACATCTGATAGGATGCTATTCTCCCAAATATAATAGTATATGCATGGTTGTCCAATCAGACTGTACTTTATAATAAAAACTGAGTATTTAGCAGAGGAGATCAAACCCAAACAACCTCCATATTGCATTACAAACATGATAACCATATGTATAACCTTTTCAACACCAGTTCCTTCTTTTTGTCACAAATTCAAAAAATACTTTATCATCTGCACTTTTCTTGAGAATAGGACAAAAATAGCCAAATTGGCTCCCAAATTCAGAGTTCATTTCTAGAAATAGTGAAGAATATAAGTAAAAAGTGCAAACAAATTTGGGCAAGCAAGTCTGGTGGTGAAAAGGATAAACATATTTGGTAACTGACCTTTAAAAGTTTGGAATAATCCATGTAATTCATAACTGTAAAGTGTTTACCATAATCATCAAATCTATCCAATGAAAATGGCCTGATAACGGAAATAGTGAATAGTGAAACATGATGAATACAAACATGATTTCTAGAATGGAGTACTCAGTGTTTAGTGTATTTGATGTGGCATGGATATTTACTAGGATGGAACAATACATTCTACTGTTAAAATTGAATATACATAAAATATACTCATAAATTTGCACATTAATCATTAATTATGAGCTATGGATGCAATGAATAATGACCTGTAAATGTAACAAGTCATGGGCTGTGGATATAATGAATAATGACCTGTAAATGTAACGAATCATGGGCTGTGGATATAATGAATAATGACCTGTAAATGTAACAAATCATGGGCTGTGGATATAATAAATAATGACCTGTAAATGTAACAAGTCATGGGCTGTGGATATACTGAATAATGACCTGTAAATGTAACGAATCATGGACTGTGGATGCAATGAATAATGACCTGTAAATGTAACAAGTCATGGGCTGTGGATATAATGAATAATGACCTGTAAATGTAACGAATCATGGGCTGTGGATATAATGAATAATGACCTGTAAATGTAACAAATCATGGGCTGTGGATATAATGAATAATGACCTGTAAATGTAACAAATCATGGGCTGTGGATATAATGAATAATGACCTGTAAATGTAACAAATCATGGGCTGTGGATATAATGAATAATGACCTGTAAATGTAACAAATCATGGGCTGTGGATATAATGAATAATGACCTGTAAATGTAACAAATCATGGGCTATGGATATAATGAATAATGACCTGTAAATGTAACAAATCATGGGCTGTGGATATAATGAATAATGACCTGTAAATGTAACAAATCATGGGCTGTGGATATAATGAATAATGACCTGTAAATGTAACAAATCATAGGCTGTGGATATAATGAATAATGATTTGTGAGTGTGATGTCTCATTGGCTGTGAATGTGATGACTCATTGGCTGAATGTAATGAATAATGACTTGGGGATGTAATTAATTATGGGCTATAGATGTAAGGAATAACGACCTGTGTATGTAATGAATCATTAAGAGATTCGAATTTAAAATAATCTTACCTGTAAGCAAATCTCAGATAAAACTTTTTATGCACAAATAACTTGAGAGGTTTTACAGATGCAAGAAAGACGGTATAAGACATGTCCATTTTGACACCACCAATACCATCCCGTTGGAACAACACAGGATTGGTTATGTACTCACAAGCAATCTATAGAATAAAGACATACCGGTAATTAATGTTCATCAGCCTTTCCCCAAGAGAATTTGTATATAATGTAGGACTATTCTTGTTTCAGTGTTTTCTACCATGTTGGATGTATTTCTATTAAAAAATTATTATGCGCATATGTGACATTTGTGTTGATAAACATTGATTTTTCCACATTCCAATGTGCTCTTCAAATGGAAATCACATATATGAGGTTTGACCTGGGCGCGACTTGCACTGATTAACACCAATGACTCCTTGATACCTTCGAATAACATGAAAATTATCTAATTAAAGCTTGGAAACGTCTCAGTTGTACTTATTGATTTGCGCAACAGTCAAAGTCACCATCTTTGTTTATATGAGTCCCATATATCTCGCACATGCGCAGTGCGACGACTACGCGCTTTAATGATGGTTGTGTTCAATGCAAAATAAATCAAACTGGTATTCTCGGGAGCAAACATCTAGGTGTTTAATCATAATCGATAAAAACAACGGTCAAAAGCTAATTGTCAAGACTCCCCTGAATAGTGAAAAAGATTGCCAATTTACAACCAATTTTGCATAATAATTACCAGTAGTTAATATGCAGTAGTGGATTTAGTAATTAACTTTTTCATCACCAGTTCCATCTAGTCATCGCAAATTCACAAAATAGTCTTATTTACAGTCTATACTTTTCTTCAGAAGATTATAGAACAGAAATAGCCAATTTTTTGAGTAAAAGCTGAAAATTGACTCATATTTTATCTTTTGGTTCCAAAATTACGGGTAATTTCCAGAAATATTGAATAATGTATATATTTTGTCTTTTGACTTCAAAAATAGGGGTAATTTCCAGAAATATTAAATAAAATAAAAAAAGTGTAGACAAATTTGAGTAAGAAAGTCTGATGTTGAAAAGAGTTACCTTTGGCTTACTGGTTTCTGTTAATCTTATGATGTAATTTAAATCATTAGTAACATGGGAATCTAAACTTCTTGCAAGATTCCAAACTTTACACACCCATACATTGTCTTCTCCCCTGTAAAAAAACAAACAAACAAATCACTGTCAATGACATAGTCCCTGTTTGTACTATGGGTATGAGGTATTACATGTCTACCACAGCGATATCCATAATATCAACGAAGTTCGAGATATGGCTTGTGGAACTACAATCGTTTAATCAAGGTAGCCACCACTGAAAGTGACACCATCCGAACAGGGACTTTAAAAAAAAAAAAAAACATCAAAGAACAGCTGGAAATCTTCATAATGTGCCATTGATATAAAAAAAAAACACCTCATTCATAGTTTGCCTTAGCAGACATATTAGGAGGTAATGTCATTGTAAAACATGTTAAATTTGTTTTTTTGGGAATACCTCTTACCTTTGCTCTTTTTGCTGAAAATAGGACACAAACTTAGGGAGCTCTAATGAGAGGTCAAAGGTCTTCTGCAGCCACTTAGGCGCCTTAGGATTGTTTGGTATAGCTCTTCTTGCAGTTACAGCCAATAAATCTTTAGTTGTCAGCAATGCCTCGCATGGAAACTGATTGATGTACTTTCTACCGTCCAAACAAAGTTGTCTGTCAAACAGAAAGCTCTATTGATGAGTAACAACAACGAGAAAGATATCTAGTCATCAATTTATGTGATACTGTTTGTGTGTCTTAGTATACTATGAATCACTTCAATTTCACAGGAGTAACATTTCTCTGCGATCTCATAACACTGATTTTCAGTGACTTTCATATTTTGTCCTCACAAATGCTATAAGATAGTAAAATCGTGTTAATTTCTAGCAGTGAAAAATTGATCAGTTACAAACATAAACATAAAAAGTCAGGCCATTTCATTAAATACATAGTACAAGTGAATCATTACTATAAAAGTAAAGCCAATTTAAGGGCTCCACTTGTTTTAAATTTAATATTAAAGTCAATTTAAAGAAATACGTGTCTTGATGTTAGGTTTAGGTTGATATACATGTACTGTATACTGACCCACATCCTAACCCTAATTGCCAACTGTAATGACAAGTTAAGGATGTAGTAGACATAACAAGTATGTTATAGTTAGGCTTGATATTTTCATATAAGAATTGTCCTGAACTATAGTAAACCATATATTTTATGAAACCTCTTATCTCACACTTTCTGAAATTCTGGGTAATTTTGGATAGAATTTAATGGTTATCACGTGACTGCTAAGTAAACAAACAAAAATGTTATTTTAAAAAAACGAGTACTGCAGGAAACTGGAACTAGTTAGATGAGTAACAAACATCGTAATGTTAACCACAGGGTGTCCCATCCAATCGGGTGACAAGATTTTTGCCCAG